TTCGTGCGCGAGATGCGCCTGCGCGCCTACCAGCAGCTGCTGCAGAGCTACCGCGTCGTCGGCCTCGACACCATGGCCACAGACTTTGGCGTCACGGTCGATTTCCTCGATCGGTATGTCCCCCTCCCCTCTCCAAGGCACACACGGCAGTGCCGTGCCGAAAGGCAGCAAGAGGTTTCACATTGACTGACATGTTTGCAGTGACCTCGCCCGCTTCATCGCCGCCGGCCGCATCCCCTGCACGATCGACCGCGTCTCCGGCAAGGGCGTCATCGAGACGAACCGACCCGACGACAAGAACAAGCAGTACCAGGACGTCGTCCGCCAGGGTGACCAGCTTATCACCAAGCTGCAAAAGTACGGCCAGGCCGTGCGCCTCAGGGGAAGCGAGAGGGCATAGACAAGAAGGGTGCCGCAGGCGGGGGATGAATTTGTGTGCGATTATCCTGTATGATAGCGATACCTCACAATAGACCAACCAGATGGAGATGAGGGGCTGCGTGGTGACATGGGACAAGTAAAGAGATGTGACAGTCGCGGTCATTTCATGCATTCACATGAAGTATTGAATCGCATACCCCAAAAAAAAAGCTCTATGCAACGCTCTGGATGCCATGGCTGCTAACCAGCCCCCGTGGCCTCTTTCTCTTTTTTCCTCCGCCGCAATCTCTCTGAGGTCAAAGAAAGAAAAAGTCTTCGATTCATCAGTGTTCCTTCCACTGTCTTTCCAAGCCTTTAGTCATTGCCAATCATGCGTGCACTTTACTATCATTTATACAGTTTTTGCATGCACTTTAACGGAACTCGTCCATGAACTTCTTGTGAAAGTCGACAATGCGGCCGACCCACTCGGTCCCTGGCGCCAGGAAGGTGGTGCGGAAGTGCAAGGTGCCCTCCTTCTGGCCGAAGCCGCTGCCGGGCACGACGCAGATGCCCGTGGCCTCGAGCAGGCGCAGGCAGTAGAACTCGTCGGCCTTGCGACCCTCCTTGGCGGCAGCGTCGGCGGCGCGCGCGGGCAGCCGGATGGTGGGGAAGAGGTACATGCTGCCCTGGGGCGCGCCGCACTCGACGCCTTCCATGTCGGCAAAGGCCTTGTGGAGGGCGACGGCGCGCTCGCGCAAGCCGTTGAAGATGCGGCTGTACTCGCGGTCGTAGAGCTCGTACGAGGGCTCGCCGGCAACGGGGGGCCGGACCATGAGCTCGACCATGCACTGGCCGACGACGGGGGCGCAGAGGGTGATGGAGACAAACTTGTAAATCTCGGCCTCGACCTCAGGGGCGAAGCCGACGAGCTCAAGTAGCCGCCGCGTGGCCGCACTCGCCGACCATGCCCTTGGAGACGAGTGCAGGACGCGAGCTCTTGGTGGTCGAACTTGCGCTCCTTGTTTTCGACTGCAGGCCGCGCAGCACCTGCTTGAACGAGTAGA